TGAACTGTGCATGTAGAAATTTTTGAAATGGTGTATCTTTGGCTATGTGTAATTTCATCAAAAAAAAGGTTGAGAAGTTAGAGGGTTGACATGTTGTAGGGTTGTTAACCAATGTTATAAAACAACATGTGTACTTCTGTTTCATGAGAAACTATTTGTTCTGTAAGCCTTCACCTGAAGTACAATAAAAAAAAAAGAAAAGAAAATCCTCATCATCATCACCACTGTTACATTATAATACTATTTGATTTATGACTTCAGACTCCAAATCAATACTTTAAAAAACTGAAGGAAGTCTGGGTTGCTAGGGCAAAATATAATTAGGACAGGACTATAGAGAGTGACTCATAAAATTCCTAGCCCCTATGACATGTAATTTATCTCTCCTTCTTGACTGAAATTTTCAACATCAAGAGGAGCCCATTCATCACATTCTGGCCTGATAGGGACAGATTTAATACTAGAGCACGTGTAATTTCTTTTACTGGTAGCAAGAAACGTAACTTTTTTATTTCCTCCTGGCAACCTTCTCAGACATCACTCTACTCAGAGCTCCTGCTGGGATCCCACTGCAGAGGGGGAAGCCCGACTCTGAGACTACCTCATGGTTGACCCATCACCCGCCCACAGCTGCCCACTTGTTATCAAACAGATGGCTGTTTCCAGAAGGCTGAGTCTAAAAGCTTCACTGGTTTTTCAGAAGGTTCATTGTTTTTTATCACTTAAAACAGCAGGAGCTTCTGGAATTCATTATTTTAAAATATACAGCGTAGGGACTTTCTCCCAGCAGCTTGGAAGGACTTTGCTAGATGAAGTAGGGATCCTCCGAAAGGCGCAGATGGCACAAGTCACAGAACTGGCCCTGCAAGGACCTCGCACACCTCTTCCATGGTTTATCAAGAGTGTGCAAAGACAGAGCCATTACCATCAATGTGATGGAAGGTCAAATGCCTTGCAGAAGCAATCAAGCCTACTGCCACCCCGTTCCACTGCTGTTGAATAATAAAGCGTATGAGTTACTATTTCCCTCTGGCAAATATTAACTGTTCAATATTAGCTGAGATTTATGTAAGAATATAGCAGTGGAAGGGCGTTTTCGGGAAGGAGCTACCTAGAGCACCTGACGGCCATCAAAGGAGACAAATATGTTGTTCTACAAGCAGAAAGTACCGGGGAATGGCCTCCACAGTCACTAAGGCACAGCCATCTCAGGCCACAGAGAAGGGGACAAAATCCACCTGCTTATAACAAATAGTTGGATGCAGAGAGGATTTGGGGGGGGGGAGGACAAGTTTAAATGGATACTTTTGTCAAAGGGACACTAATCACCTAACTGTGGGGTGGGGAACAAGTTGCCATATCAGAGAGTGGCAGCAAAGGAGCAATGGGCCACAGGGGTGAGAGCGGAGCATGACGCAGCAGCACAGCACTGCCATTAGGACACCAAGCTTGCAACCGGGGTGCACACTCTGAAGCTAAGCCTGGTGGAACTCGGAAAGATCCTCTGATTATATTCTGCACACACAGACCCTTCCTGCCCCAAATGCCAGCTTCCCTCCTCTGTCTCAAGCCTAGAGCACTGTTGAGAGGTCCCCTTTGCAGACAGGGGGGATAATTCCCTAGGCCATGTTCCCTGTATTGCCCCGAGGGCCAGGTTAGGCTGTCATGACAATAACAGGGCTGTGACATGGTCTTTAATGACCGTGCTCTTATTCTGCTTAGTGCTCGTCTGGCAGGTTCCCTGCTTCATTTTCCCAGTGGGGCTGGGTTCATTCTTCCCCTGGTCCCCACAGATAAGGTCTCTGGGAACAAGCATCACTAGCTGAGCTCCTACCGTCCCCCATGAGTCTTGGTGAGCTTCACAGACAGCTCCATCGATCCAGAACATTGTATACTTCCCAACCTTGTGAATCTGGTTGGCATACTGTATAGCACAAAGCAGCTCCTTGGAAACATTTCAAGTACCTGAGCTAGAAAATATGTGGACAGGATGTACCCACCCACTGTTGGCAACCTCACTCTCAGATCCAAAAACCCGAGGGGGACGGAGAAGGGTGGGAAACGGGAGTGACGCTATTTAGAGTGGAAGTCATCTTGGCATTCTGGAGGTAAACTGAACTGTATTAACATGCTCATTTGAATAGCACAACCCCCAGGGGCCAATGCAGGGCCTCTCACTGGTAGAGCCAAGGCTCAGTTGAGATGCAGGAAGGGCTGGACGAGCAGGGAAACAGAGTCCCAATCAGGAGCTCATGCTAATTAAAACAGCACAGTGGGCCTGGCTCATAAGGGCCATGTCTACAACATCCCCGCACTGCAGGCTTGCAGAAGAGTCAGAAAGACAAACCAGGTCGTCTAGTAAAGAAACTCAAATCAGTGTGTCAGAATTAGAATGGGGAGCTGGCCTGCAATGGCATGCGGTGAGGGCGCACTGGTGATAAGCAGTCCAGGGGATTAGAGGACTTTGTGTTGTTATTTCTGTTGCTGGGAAATTCAGCACCATAGCACTTCCACAGCCGAGTTCTCTGGTACACAGGCCTGGCTGGGCTGTAGCCTAAATCCCTGAAAAGCCAGATGCCACCTGGGGTACACATCCGTCCTATCAGCCAACACCAGATACCTGGAGGTGGCCAGCACTGGGTACGTGCAGATAAGGGGAGCCTTTGGGATCCAGGCTTGGAAACCTTAGTTAAAGTCCGCTGAAGACGCCTGAGTAAAGAAGCGACCTGAGAACTAAACCACCCTCCCGAGAACATCCTCTTCCAGAGGACACTGGAAAAACTACACCCAGTTTTCTGTCCTGGGTTTTTAAAAATCATTCCACTCACCTCCCTTCCAAGGCTTCCTAAAAATAGTGATTTAAAAAAAAAAAAAAAACAAAACAATTCTGCAAGACAGGAGGATCTTCATCATTTTTACAGGGCAGGCTCTCATTTATTTAGGAAAACAGAACATCCAGTAATTCCACCTTCTGTGCTGGCATATAGGAGGCAGAGTATGGCATTCAGTTTTGAAATGTCACCCTAAGGGAGATTTAGTGAAGAATTAAAAGGTCTAAAGAAAGTAACAGCGAGCCACTTCTTGCCATAAAAACCACCGACTCCAAGGACCGGCAGCTAAGTTGTAACCCTAACCATGCAAGACAATTCTCCCCCACAGTATGGATCTAGGGCCTCAGTGCCAGGGGAGCAGTTAGGACAAACAGCAAGGCAAAGGGACTTCCAGGCCAACTGAGAGGACTCCCAACAGGACGTTTTAGGGACCACAGTGACACATGTCCAAACACTGCCTGGCTGCTCAAGCCACGTGGGGGGCACTACTCCCTCCTTAGGAGACTGACCTTCCTGCCAGGAGGCCCAGTCCACATGTCCACAAAGCCACCAGTCCACAGATGATCCACCCAGGGAGCACAGCTAACCTGAGGGAGAGCATTTATGGACTGGGCAGAGACACGCAACTTTGTGTCCAGGCTGAGAAATGAACTGGGCCAGAGTCTCTGCCTGGGACATCTGGACCGAGAGACACAGTGAGGCTGTGGTGGGCACAGGAGCTGAACAGTTCCATGGATTTGGGGCAGAAGCAGCCACCACTGCAAGTCCAAGCCTCCCACAAAGTAAGGGGCAGCAGGGATGATGTTCAGGAAGCAGAATGGGGAAGGGGCTGCGAGGAGAACAGGAAGGCATACTACAGGGGAAGGTGGACAGGAGCCGAGGGGAGGTCTCCACTCCAGATGGCCCAGCTCCCTAGTCTGGCCCCCATGTAGTGCTTCTGTGCTTTTTTCCCCTATTCTTGGACATCTGTGAGACTGCTTGTTATAGCCCTGTAATTAGACTCCTAATTTATTTGCACTAATTTGAGAGGGATCCTGTTCTTTTTAACTGGCAGTGCAGAGCTAAAGCCAGGTTATGTAAGAAATATTCTCTGTGCAGCTTCAGAGTGGAAAGCCCCTCAACTACTCTACATGCCCTGGATGTAACCCTCACCCTTGCCCCTTTAAACAAGAAACGGGAGGTCCGTATGTTCCTGCATTTTCATTTCCTCCTTGCCCAGTAATCAACAAATATGCCCTTTAGTGAGGACTCTCATTCCTTCAGATCACACTGCTTCACTTAGTGGGAAGTCCATACAACACACCAAAATCACCATGCAGGTGAGGATGCGGGTAACTTCCACGTGAGGTGGGAAAAAAAAATACACGGGATTCGGTTTTCCTAATGATCAAAAAGCTGAAAACCCAGCTACGGGCTAGTTTATTCTGGTTGTTAAATACACAGATAGTTTTGGCTATCTCTTAATCCTGTCATTTATTCAGCATATGAATAATAGGCAGATAAGAAAAGCTGATTTAATCCTAAAAATGTTAAGCTCTTGTCACTGGCAGATATTGCTTAGCTTAGGGAGAAGTTACAACAATGGTGTTATAATCAATGACAAAGATGGCACCACGCTTGACACGACAACCATTCCTTAACTGCTAAAAGGTTCCAAACTAAAGATGAAGTATGGGGCTTGTTTCCCATTTCTATTTTATTTGACACCTGCCTTTGCTCATTTTTGCTTCTAGTCAATGATGATTTGTCCAGGAGTCTATGGTTGATTTCTGAGTTGCCCATAATGGCACTACGAGCCACAAATGTGGCGGTGACAAAGTTTCAGATTCACTTTGTCTTGACATCAAGAGCAACTCTGCCTCTGTGCCTGCCCAGCACAGAGCTCTGAAATGTGCTCAGCACCATGGACAGCGGTAGCGGGCGGCCACTGCTGTTTCCGTTGTTAACAACTGCACCTTAGCCCTTCCTTGGCCTTAAAGTTCATCAGGCCTTGCTTATCCCAAGCTTAATCTGACCAAGAGAAAAATCAGTTGGGTGCAACTGAGTTTTGTTTTTGTTTTTAATCTGATGATCTACTTAAATTCAGCCCCGCCCCCTAAAGCAGGAACTGTGAATACTCTACCTAAGAAGGCTTCCTTAATTTCAGTCTTGTCTGTTCGCCGGATGATTTTCACCACACAAATAACAGCCAGGGGTGTGAGGAAAGAAATTGCCTGGAAGAAATAGCAAACAAGCCCTTATGAGGACATCAGTTCGCCATCAGAAGGGCCGACTGATCATTAGTTCCAGTTAGCTTCTTTTAGACTCACTAGTTGAATGGTCTTCCTGAACTCCTGACCTCAGAAAAACGAGCATGACTTAATCTATACTTAGAGACCACACAGACTTGAAAAAGTGAAGGCCTGATTGTAGGTTATAATTGATTGTCATTGCTGGTAGCCACGTTTAAAGTGGTGGCTTTTTAAATGGAAAAGAATAGTCTTTAATTATGCTGACTCATCTTTGCCAGTAACTTCCCTACGGTTCTCCTCTGCAGAAGGGTGAAGGAACCTTGGCCTCTCAGTCCCAGCTCTCCAGCAACATGAGAGCACGTGGGACTTGCGTAGACTCAATCAATTCATTCCCTTTTGGTGTTCTTTTGTTGAATATTCATTTCTTCAGAAAGGCAGAGATTCACCCTTCTTCTGCATAAAGTTTCTCCTCTTCCCTTCCTCCAGCCCCTTTCCTCCCAAAAAGACAGAGATGCTCACTAAGCGCTTACTGAGTTAATCTGGCAGAATTCAGATGCAGCAACAAATAGAAAACCTACCGTGACGGAAGAACTGTGCTAGGTACCGACAAATACAGGAGCCTCAGATTCTCACAATGGCTCTGTGTCTGCTTTCTCAGGCTTGGGGATTAAATGACGTGCCCAAAGACACACAGCTGCTGACTGGCAAGTAGCAAGGCCAGGGTTTGGAGATGAGGTCTTCTGCCTCCCACATCCACTCTTTTATTTCAGCATTCCATAATTCTATGGAAACCCTGGTGGCATAGTGGTTAAGAGCTATGGCTGCTAACCAAAAGCTCAGCAGTTCAAACATACCAGGCGCTCCTTGGAAACCCTATGGGGCAGTTCCACCCCGTCCTACAGGGTTGCTATGAGTCAGAATCGACTCGACAGCAACAGGTTTTTGGTTTTATAATTCCATAATAAGTAAGTAATTTTAAATATCCCAAAAACAAACAAAAAAAAGGATTTATGTTACTTCCTTCTAATTATAACTTCTCAGGATAACAGTATCAGAAATGGTTGAATATCTCACAAACCCACAATTGACCTGGCAGTTGGAGAAAGGGGTTGCTACTGGCCGACACGGTTCACACTTTTGGAAATCTTCATTTGTGCTCCAACACGATATCACTTTTTGGAGAGAGGCTTCCTAATAGGACTTTACCTAATCAGGGTTAATAAGGCATGGATAGAAGATAATTAGATGCTTTCCTTTTATAAAGCCTGAATTCATCCAAATGAGTACGGTCTTTCAAAATAACTTGAGATGCTCTACACAACCAGGCTGCCAGGAATTCTAGGGTTGGTTGCTCTTTGGGAACTGTCTTCAGAGACTGTTGACGAGACACAAGAGAGCCCTCTTCTTACTTGCCACCATTTCTTTCCGATCACGTGTGGCGGTAACCAGTTTGATGATCCTCCTTATCAGGTGTGGCTCTGAATGACTCAAACTGTTTCAAAATCAAGTAGCAAGTCTTGTCTCCACGGAGGGCACAGATGCTAAGGGAAACTGTATGAGGGGAGACCCGGAGCTGAAGCAGAGAAAGCAAGAATTTCCCTGCAGGCCACAATGAAAGACGACATTCCCTGGTGAGAAACAGTTCTGGAAAATCCGTGGCTCTGACATCTGAATAACTGCAGGGCTTGTTACGATGCTGATTCCCTCGAAGAGGCTGATATGACAGGTCTGTGAATCTACAGTTTTTAACAAGCATCTCAAATGGTTCTGATGCTGGTGATTAGAAACACTGATGCCAAGCTTCAGCTCACACATCCAGTGTTTACAGAGGGATGATTGAAGCATCTGCCCACTGAAGCCAAAGTTCTGGTCAAAGCAGAAGACTTCCTTGTTTTTCCAAATCCAAACACAAGGCCTACCAACTTACATCCCCTTGTTCCTCTCAATTTAAACACCATAGATAGACTGGTCACAAGTCCTCAAATATAAGAAACCAGCCCAGTTCCCAATAAATAGTAGGCGCTCACTAGATAGTGAATGACCCTGCAGTGACCCCACCAACAAGTCCAACCTTAAAGACAAATAAAATAGTAGTGAAGAAGGCATTACAAGACTATCCCAGCTGGCATGCAGTAAAGTTAGAAATGGATGGATGGATGGATGGATGGATGGATGGACAGACGGATGGATGGATGGACAGATGGATGGATGGATGCCACTGACTTGACTCTGACTCATGGTGACCTTTTATGTACGACAGAACAAAACACTGCCCATTCTTGCATCATCTTCATGATTGCTGTATGTGTGAATCCATTGCTGTGGCTAATGAGTCGATCCATCTCACCGAGGGTCTCCCTCACCTCTCGCTGGCCCTCTCCTTCACCAAACATGATGTCCTCCTCCAACGACTGATCCTTCCTGATGACTTGTCCAAAGCAAGTGGATAAGACAATGTTCTGTTGTGATCCATAAAGTTTTCCTTGGGTAATTTTCAGACACAGATCACCAGGCCTTTCTTCCTAGTCTATCTTAGTCTGGAAGTTCTGCTGAAACCTGTTTATCATGAGTGACACTGCTGGTATTTGAATACTGGTGACATAGCTTCCAGCATCACAGCAAGATGCAAGCCCCCACAGTATGACAAACTGACAGGCGGTGGTAGACAGAAATTAGATTCTAGGAAAAAAATCCAAGTGGGGAAGACTTTTCCTATGAAGCTCCCAGAAGCTCAAAAGAAATTCCCTAGCAGGAGTGTGTGGATCACACAGTACCTGGAGGCACCACGTGGGAGACCCTTTGTCTCAAGGCCAGGGTGTCTTGATGGGAAGCCATTAGCATTGGGGAAATCCTGAGAGCTGTCCAGCTGACTCCCAGGCCCTAGCTTAATGGCCAAGGGTGTCTCTTTAGCACCGCTCCCTGACTCAGCTCTCCTGCTCCTAACTGGATCCCCACTTGCCAACCAGAGTGGACTTAATCTAACCCAGTTCACAACTTTCCTGGCTAGATGCATGATGCCATTTTTTCTAGAACCACTAAACTACTGCTTCCTGGCCCATGCTAAGCAACAGAAGGACGAGAATAAAATGCCCCCAGGAGGGCCCGAGGTTCCCCACCTCACGAGCTTCACAGACAAGGAGATGCAACTGTCAGACAAAGCACCCACCCTGGGGCAGCTGCCACAAGAATGTCCTACCAGCATTTGCCCCGGTCTCATTTTTAATTCCTGGAAACCTATCTGCCATATCCTACAGCAGCACAGTTCTCAAGTCAGGACAGGGAGAGACATATCTACTCTTATCATCCCCCTTTCTTATTCAAATATTTTTCAACTAAAAGTTGGAGTTCAGAGATAACGTCAAGAAGTCAGCACACTTGGAACTTGATTTCCTCTTGGGCAGCAGGGCCTCTGAGCTGAGTCAAAGAGGGGCAAAGAGAGTCTAAGCCCCCCACTTTCACTCAGCAAACCAGCCTTACGTACACACACTCCTCCTGCTCTTCTGATGTAAGCCAACAGAAGCTGCTGTTCTGCTGGCCGAGCTGATGGAGTAGATGAAGACAGACACAGAGACATGGAAGTTGGCAGTGGCTATTCTGCCCCAAACAAAAATTGCAGGCAATGTGAGCAGCCATCTAAGATACTCCACTGGTCTCACCCCTTCAGGAGCAAGGGAGAATGAAGAGAACAAGATACAAGGGAAAGATGAGTCCAAAGGACTAAGGGACCACAACTACCAAGGCCTCCACCAGACTGAGTCCGCTACAACTAGACGGTGCCCGGCTACCACCACTGACTGCTCTGACCGGGATCACGACAGAGGGTCCCGGACAGAGCTGGAGAAAAATGTAGAACAAAATTCTAACTCACAAAAAAAGACCAGATTTACTGGCCTGACAGCGACTGGGGAAGCTCCAAGAGTATGGCCCTCGGACACCCTTTTAGTTCAGTAATGCAGTCACTCCCGAGGTTCACCCTTCAGCCAAAGATTAGACAGCCCCATAAAACAAAACAAGACTAATAGGGCACAACAGCCCAGGGACAAAGACTAGGAGGGGACAGGAAAGCTGGTAATAGGGAACCCAAGGTCGAGAAGGGAGAGTGTTGACATGTCATGGGGTTGTTAACCAATGTCATAAAACAATATGTGTACTAACTGTTTAATGAGAAACTATTTGTTCTGTAAACCTTCATCTAAAGTACAATAAAAAAAAAAAAATTGCAAGCGAGATATCCCCTGGTATTATTGGTATTATTTTTCCTTGATGAGTCAGAATTGACTTGACAGCAGTAGGCTTGGTTTTTTTGGTTTAATGTTTCCACGGCTTAAAAAAAAAAAAAAAAAAAAAATCCCTTGGAATGAGTCCAGTGTAGAAAGACAGCGAATGATTGGTGCTTATTAAAAGGGATCTGAGAGAGACCAGAATTAACTCCAGCCAAACGCCGCTCTGGGATGCAGCGAGCGTACAGAACCAGCTCTGTGCCTGTGCTTTCCTCACCTGTTGTGGGTATAGGGCTGCTGAATACACATACCTAGGTTAGCATAACAAAGGCTCACAGGTACTGAGAACTTAAGTACCAGGCACTGTTCTAGGCACTTTATGTAAATTAACTCATTCAAGCCTCACAGCAACCCCATGAAATAGGCTCTACTAAAACCCCAATAGCACAGTGGTTAAGAGCTCGCTGCTAACCAAAAGGTCGGCGGTTTGAATCCACCAGGCGCTCCTTGGAAACCCTATGGGGCAGTTTTACTCTGTCCTATATGGTCGCTATGAGTCTGAATCGACTTGATGACAATGGGTTTTTTTGTTTATTACCCTTATTTGGAGTCCTGATTGCACAGTGGCTAAGCGTTCAGCTGCTAACCAAAAGGTTGGCAGCTGGAATCCACCAGCCACTCCTTGGAAACCCTATGAGGCAGGTCTACTCTGTCCTACAGGGTTGCTATGAGTCTGAATCAACTCGATAGCAATGGGTTATT